CTCCTAAAAGGAGAGAAAGGGGAGTAGAAAAAAAATACATCAAAATAAGAACCAAAACTATCAGGACAAACATGGTGGAGTAGTCCCCACCCCCAGCACTCAGTCAAGTCATAGCAAGATGTGAGCTCCAAGGGGCTTAGATGGCTCCACCGCAATGGTATTTCTGGTGTCAAGACACACTGCCGCTCTCTCAGGCTGGCTCTACTTGCTGCCTGTGGTTTTTCTCACCATGCATTCCACATCCTGGCCTTTCCAAAGTCCTGGGGTTTCTGCTTTATATTTGCCTTCATTCTCATGGCTTCATGCATTTTTCTTTCAGGGACTCCTTACTGGAATTCCAAGCCTTCCTTTGAAATCTAGGTGGAAATCTCTTTGACCTCATAATACTCGCATTCTGCATGCTGTTAAAGCCACTATCCCGTGGGTGGCACCAAGGTTGGCTACCAGCTTGAGAAGTAGCCAGGCCCCTTTGGACCATGGCTATGCTGGGCTCTGAGCACAGTGAAATGAATCCTGGGACCCAACTCCCTAGGAGGTCCTTCTTGAGCAGGTATTCCAGGTACTCTTCTCAAAGCAAAGTCTTTTGCAAGCTTTATCCTTTTTATACTTTTGAGCCTGTGATGGGTGGGGTCTGGCCATTTCCTGAGATGCCCTCAATACATCTTTCCTTTGTGCAAAGTACCTCACTTCTTTTTAATGCCATTTTTTGGGGTTTGTTTCTTTGAGACAGGGTCTTGCTATATATAGCCCAGGCTGGCCTTGAACTCATGGTGATCCTCCTGCCTTAGCCTCACAAGTGCTGGGATTACAGGTTAATGCTAATGTAACCATGCTCTTCTTGACCCTAACTTTGCTGACTGTCTGGTCAACCTGCAAAATTTCCACATCTTTCAGCTCTGCTTTTTCCTCTAGATTCTCAATGTAGATCTGGCTTGTAATGGTTTGTGTCTAGGTGTCCCCTCAAAGCCTCATGCAGTCATGGGGCAGCTTCTGGAGGTAGTGATTGATTATTATGGATGCGGGCGCTGCACACACGCTGGGACAGGTAATCTGCATTATAATGTGAGGAGGGGAGAGAGGCTGGCTAACTGAGGGAGCCGCTTCCCCTCCCTTTGCTCTTTGCCACCACCATGAATGGCTTCTCTGTGCCATGTACCATTCTACCTTGGAGCCAGCTGAGTATGGACTAAAACCTCCACAGACTGTGAGCTAAATAAACCTTTCAGGGGCCAGGGAGATGGCTCAGTGGAATAGGCGCTTGCCTGGCAAGCACAAGGGCTTGAGTTCAATCCCCGGTTCTGCCAAAATAAATAAATAAATAAATAATTAAATAAAAAATAAACCTTTCCTTTCTTCATTTTGCGTGTTGGATATTTTGTCTCAGCAACAAGCGAAGAGTAACTGAGACATGGCTGAAAGCAGCCAGCAGTATTTATGCTGAGTTGCTTTGAAATTTTCTTTGCCACATGAATTAATCTGCCACTTTTAAATTCAGCTTCACACAAAGTCTTAGGACATGAGCAAGACAAAGACAAGGACGTTTGATCCCTTGTACCACATGCTTTTCTGGCCCCACCCTCAGGCAACTGAGTCTGGGTATGGTAGTGCATGCCTGTAATCCCAGCACTGGGGAGGCTAAAAACAGGAGGATCACTATGAGTCTGAGCTACATAGTGAGACCCTGTACCAAATACATAATTTTTTTTTAAAATGACAAAGTATTTGCCAGAATGTAATATGAGTGACCCTTGTCCAATTTGCAATAGAGTCCTTATTTCTATCTGAAAGCTCATGAACCTGGCCTGTACTGTCTACATTCCACTGTCTACATTCCACATTCTTTGAGTTCTGCTTATAGCATTCCAGGGCTTCTCTGTGTATCTCCAAACTTTTCTAAATTGTTCCTGCAAATCAGTTCCAAAGGATTCTGAACAACCTGGTTGGATACAGTCACAGCAATGGCTCTCCTCTTATTTCCATTTTTTTTTTTTTTTTTTCAGAACTGGGGATTGAACTCAGGCTCTTGTGCAAATGCTCATTCTACTAAGTCAGCTCCCCAGCCCTCCAATTTTCTGTATTAGTGATTTTCCTGCTGTGACAAAATATATGACATTGCACCTTAAAGGGAGAAGATGATTTTGGCAAATAGTTTCAGAGGTCTCAGTCTATGGTCAGCTGGCTTTGAGGTAGAAATGGCATGGCAGAAGGGCCTGGTGGAGGAAGCTGCTCAATCAATGGTATTAGGAGTGGAAGGGAAGAGGGAGAGAGCAGGAGGAGGACATTAAGGGGATGGGGGAAGGGAGGGAGAAGAGAGGTATCAGAGATTAGAACATACACCTCCAGGTTGTGTCCCCAGTGACCCGCCTCCTCTAACCAGACCCCACCTCCTCACAGCACATTCGGCTATGAACTTATCAATGGGTTGGCTAATCCATCGATGAGTGCAGTGCCTCAAATGGCCCAATCACCTTCCGAAAGCCCCACCTCTGAACATATGATACTTTGGGGCATTTTAGATCTAAACTATAAAAATGAGTCTCTGAAAATGCATGCTTCTCGCAAATGTGAAGAAACTCGTGAGTGATGTTCCAAGATGGGACTTAAAGTTTTGTGAGCTGCCTGCCATGTAGGCCTGGAAGGACTATGGCCATGACACTCTCTGCAATTATTCATTGAAAAGAGGGACAGCCAAGCAATATCTAGCACATGTTATGTTACTGTGGTGTTACAATCCATCAAAAAATGTCAAGCTTAATGTGTCTGATAAAATAATTCAATTCTCAAATAATTTTGGTATCTGGCATTAATTAATTAGAAAGCAAAATCAAACCAAGCCAAAAAAATTTAGTAGGGACTTATTTTCTTAATTGTAGGGCTAATTCTAAGGATTTTTTTTTTTACTTTATTTTTTTAAAGAGAATAAAAAGTAGCGAAAACATTAGAAATGATACAGAATTTCACTAAACAAAATAATAGGAACTCAACAGTGGTTATATTGTATATTGTATATCTTCGAAATAGTTGTTCAGATTACCAGATATAAGCATGCAAAATTGGTCCAAAAAGTTATAAAAAATTAAAATAGAGAAAAAAAAATGAAGCATTAATTGCTCCTTTCTGTAGACCAGCAGAAATCAGCAGTACAATTATTCAAGCTATCTTGTATACATCATATTTATTTATTTTTCCCTTCTTTCTTTCTTTTCTCTGCTCTCTCATCCCAGTTGTCCCTTCCCTTGATATGGTGAAAAAGAAAGATTAAGTATTTCAAAAAATATGCTTGATATAAAAAAGTCTCCCATTAACCTTTATGTTAATCTTTATCTGATAGTTCTAGATTCTGAATTGGATTATTTCACAGCCTGTATTTCCAATTTGACTTTTATGGAACAGGTATCCAAAGGCATATGGAAAACCCCCCAAAATAATCATAGCCATGCACAAAGATTAGCTATGAAGATATTTATCATAGCCTTAGAATAGTAACATTTTTGTAATTTTAGGGGTTGATGAACTGAATTATGATACAGACATATAATAGAATACTATGCACTCACTAAAATTGATGTTGCAGAATAACAATGTTACAAAAGTATTTCTGCTGTTCTAATGAATTTAAAAAACAAATTACAGAGGCTTGTATATAATCGTATTTCTGTTATAATACACATGGAAGACAACCTTTAGGATAACTTCTGTTTGGGGCACCTGTGGCTTTAACTTTTCTTTTTCTCTTTTTTTTTGATCATGCACCAAAAAACAGAAAATTGCTACACTGTAGGTAGCTATATGGAAGGGTCCTTATGGCAAGAAATGAAGCCTTTATCCAAGAGCTGATGAGGAATGGAGGCCTGGCTGGGACATGCGAGTGAGTCCTAAGGCATGCTTGCTGGCCCAGCTGAACTTTGTGCAAGCTGAGTAGTCTGGCTGACGGCCTACCACTTTTCTAGAGACTCTGAAACGGAGTCCTTTGGCTCTATCGGGCCTGAATCCCTAGCTCCCAGAAACTGGAAGATAGCACATGCTTTTGATATTTTAAGTTGCTAAATTTTAGGATAATTTCTTAGGCAGCTGTTCCTAACCAATACACATGTGCATAGTGATATGCTGAGGACAGAACTGGAACTACATTCATGATTTCCTCTAGGTGGTAGGATCATGGGAAATTTTTATTTTATTTTGTATAATGCTAGCAATTGTGTTTCTTTGTTCAGAAGCTGAGATGGTCAAGAGAAATCATACGATCCTTTTTTTTTTTTGTGGAACTGGAGATTAAACTCAGGCCCTTATACCTGCCAGACAAGTGCTTGTTCCACTGAGCTGTCTCCCTGGCCTGGCAAACTTTACTATTTGGAAAAGTCTTTTCTTTTGTTTTAATTTTAGGAAAGGGTCTACAGGGTGTTCGGGATCTCACTACTAGACCAGACTCATAGTGATCCACCTGTTTACAGCCTCCCAAGATCTGGGATGACAGGTGTGTGCCACCACACCCAGTCTACTATTCTTTGAAGAACAAAGAATAAAGAATTTTAGCTTTCACAATCTTTTTTTGGGGGGGCTGGAGAGATGGCTCAGTGGTCTAAAGCACCTTCTTGGAACAAGCTTGGCAAAACATCAGGGACCGCGGTTCGATCCCCCAGCACCACATGCCGGCCAGCTGCGCCCCCTGGTGGGCTGAGCCGAGCACACACACACACACACACACACACACACTAAATAAATGTTAAAAAAACAATCTTTTTTTTTTTTTAAGCTTTCATAATCCTTAGAGCCTTTGCAAATTAATTTGCTTAAATGTACAGAAATTAAAAAAAAAAATAACAAAGCGAGTGCCCACATGATGTGGTGGAGTGAATTTTCCCACAAGAACACATACAGCACACTGTGAGCAGCAGTGTCCAGTACTTGCAAGGAAGGGACTTCCATGTGGCTCCCAGGAGGAAAGCCAGGCAGAACAGAAGTTGCCCGCTGGCCCACCGTGGTACGGAGTCCTCACTCACCCAGCTTCTGGTCAAACCGCCACGCCGCGACATAGGCATTGTGCCCGAGGCTGCTCTGTGTGGCTAGGGGCACGGTGACGTAGATGGGACCATCCACCAGCACCGGGGTTCCATTACTGCTCAGCAAGTGGACGCTGACAGCCGTGACAGGGGTCAGGTCATACCTGGTACTGTTTCCTGGAAGGAAGAGGTATTTCTATCATACACACAGAGTACCTGGGCGGAGGAGACTCCTGGCGGAGAAACAGTCATGACTACCATTTAGTGAAGAGAATTTTAGTATGCCAGGGACTATAGTAAATACTTTTATTTTTAATGCTGGGGGTTGAACCCAGGAGCTGGCACTAAGCTACATCTCAAGTCTTTTAATATTCTTTTATTTTGAGACAGGGTCTTGCTAAGTCACTAAATTGCCCAGACTGGGCTTAAATTTGCAACCCTCTCGCTTCAGTCTCCCAGAGTGCTGGGATCGCACACATGAACCACCATGCCCAGGTTGTAGTAAACCCTTCATATGACCAGTCCTCACTAGGATATTACAAAGCAAGCAAAGTCCCCATTTCTGAAAGAAACAAGCCCAGAAAGAGCAGTAATTGTATGCCCTCTAAGGGAATCCAAGTTCAGCCTGGCCACTTCTGACAAATATGCTGATTTCAAAGAGGGCCTCAAAAGAAAAGCACTCTTCTGTAATATAATGTGAGATGAGGGTCTATGTGGAAATCACTGAAAAGAACTTGCACATAAAGTGAGTCCCATAGTTAGTAACATAAAGTGAGTCCCATAGTTAGTAACATATACATTGATACCAAGAGTACCATAATGAAACGTTTTAGGTTAGAGACTGTTTTTTGGTTTTGTAGTATTTTTGAGACAGGGTCTTGTTACATACTTCAGGCTGCCCTTGAATTCATTCTGTATCCCAGGCTGGCTTTCAGCTCACTGCAGTCCTCCTTCCTTAGACTCTTAAGTATTGAGATTACAGGCATGTACCACCATTCCCGGTTGTTTTTGTTTTAAATAGTAAGTTTCTTTTAGGATTGCTGCCAAATACTAACTTACTTCTCAAAAAGTATACCATTAAAACTTGGGCTTAAAGTATTTATGGATTAATTTAGTTGCCATTGTATTTTGGTATGTTTGAAGGGAATTTAATATCCCAATTACTCTCCACTAGAAGCCTTTTATCTAAGCCAATGCTTTAATGACCGTCTACAGATAAATCAGAGAATGCTTATGAGAGGGATATTTACACACTTAAGCAATCCATTTTAGATTTTTCTCTAGTGAAATATAATAGCATGTAAAATGTTACATAATTTGACATCTTTCCTTGAGCAGAATGACACACAGTGATAAAAACTTTAGAACACACTAGAATACAACCTGCAAGATTTCTATGTGGTTATTTATATACAATACTTACCTACCTACCTGAGCTAATGTCTTTTCCCATTTGGACTAAATTTAAACAAGTAAAGCAAACCTAATGAAATTCACAGTACCAAGGACTCAGACGAGCCCTGCATGGAGGAGTTTCTAAACAGCTAATGATAGCATAACTTGGATCCTTTATACCCACTCTGGTCTTTCAAAGAAGGGGGAGGCTTAGGAAAGAGATTTTTATCAAAAGGTCTGTGGTGGAATCAAATTTAGAAGTCTTTTAGTTTTGCCACTTCATTTTAAGATAAGAAAGACTAGAACCCAGAATTTACCATATTTCTAGTCAAAATACCTTTTACGTACCAACCATTTAAAGGTGACAGAATAACAAACCCAGGTCTATGGACACAGCTCAACTAAAACTGCAAAGACATGGTTTGAGCATATAAACAACTTAGTTTTCCTTTAGGAAGAGCTATGTTATTCCACTGATCCCGGTGTAGGATGTTTGCATAGGGCAGCAAGCAGATGGCATAGAAAGCAGTAGGACTGGGTCTTGCGGGCTGGAGGTGTAACTCAGGAGGAGAACATCTGCCCAGCATGTGTGAGGCCCTGGATTTAAAATCCACCATGGCAGAAAGAAGGCAAAGAGAAAAATAATGGAAGGAAGAAAGGCATCCCCTTCTTCAGTTTATCAGAGAGGGAGGGAGGGAAGGAGGAAGGGAAGGAAGGAGGGAAGGAGGGACAGAGGGAAGAAAGGGAAAGAGAGAGAGAAAAAGAGAGAGAATATGAATCTCCCCTCTTTCGCTTATCACTTTTTTATTTTTTTATTTTTAAACTCAGCTGTATTTATTACCTCTTAAAGTAGAATGATGTGACCTGGGCCCTCCACCTCCATTCACGGGTCTTGTTTCAAATGATTTTTGAAACAGCTCTGCAGTATCCCTAGAAAGCTGTTTCTCTCTTGAAACTACTTTTCTTTGGAAAACAAGCCCTGTGCAGCTTTTGCCATCAAGTTTTCAAGATAACATACTTCTAGGTTTGATTCTCCTTTCCTGTGATCCTACCTGGGATCCAACCCTGGCCTGGGCCAAGAGGGCTCCTATATCAGATATCATACTAACTACACACGTAGCCCACAAGAAATTACTCCACTCTTATAGGGCTGTTTTTCTTATCTTCTTAACTAATCAGGGTAAATTAGATGGCTTCTAATTCTGCATGGAGATAGATATTTCAGCTGTAAGCCCTTGGAGGTAAGCAACATTGCAGCAATGAGTGCTTCCAGAGGAAGCATGCACCCCTTTCCCTCTTTCCCATCTCCAGAGTCTACTTCTGTTTCCTACCATCTCTTTTATTTTGCTCTTTAAAGTACTTACAGGCTGGGGAGATAGCTGGGTGGTCTAAGCACCTGCCTGGCAAGTGCAAGGACCTGGGTTCAATCCCCGGTACTGTATGATGTGCAGGCCACTGAAACCAGGTGTGGTGGTGCACATCTGTAATCCCAGTGCTGGGGAGGCTGAGACAGGAGGATCACTATGAGTTCCAGCTGCATAGCAAAATCCTGTACCAAATAAATCTTAAAATAAATAATTTATATTATGGTCCTCTGACATTAGAGAAACAATACAATATTTAGCCTGTTTATGACTTATTCCACTTTAGTACTAGGCTCTCACGATCCCTCCATTTCCCATTTTTCTTTATGGCTGAGTGTACTCCATTGTGTGCTAGCACAAAAACAGACCTCTTGGCCAGTGGAACAGAACAGAGGACGCAGAATTCTTCATACACCTTGAGCCATTTAATTTTTGATGAAGGGGTCAACAACACATGCTGGGGCCCTTTTACATATTACATATTGTATATAAGTAATTTTTTACATATTATGTATGTAAAAGCCCATCTTATATAGCAGGTGCCCTTCGTGCTACCAGGCTGCTAATGGGGCACACAGACAGCAAAGAGAAGGGGGGATGCGGCTGAAATCTCCACTTGGCTGCATTTCTCTAACTCTAAGCTTCTCTCTAAATGGAGCCAGCTGTGTTTAGGACACCCCAAGGAGACTCTCCAGTCTCCTCTGTTTCTGCCCATTTTTGCTGACCTCTAGACACAACTTGTCATCTTACAAAGACATATCTGGTTCCAGCTCTCTCTCTTGGCTGAAATTTCTTAGAGCCATTTGTAAAACTGGAGGCATGTCCTCGTGGGGCAGGAGAGAAGCTGAGTTCAAATTGTGCCTAGGGGCCGGTACTAGGCGGTAAGATGTGCTACAGAGTCGTGGGCTCGGTGGAGCCTGAGTGCCAGCAGCTGTGAACAAGCCATGGGCTGGATGCCTTTTGTGGTATGCCTAAAGATAGGTGTGATCCTCTCTGGGGCAGCTTATCAGTTATTTTAGTCAAAAAGAAGCTTAATGTCACATTCGAAAGACCTGCTATCTTCTGCCTGCAGTAGAGTGATTTTAAATAAAACTCTACAAAATCAATAGTCCTGTGTCTTTGAGTTCTGCTTCCTCCAGTCTTCTCAGATTTCATAATTTATTCAACCATTATTGGAAGTGACACAAGAAAATTAATGATCTCTAAGGAACAAGGATGTCCCTTGGAGTTGGAGTTTTATGACTATGTTCTATTTTATAATGGAGCTGGATGGAAGTTAGGGTGGTCTCAAACTGGGTGTCACCAAGTTCCCTGAAACAATGTCTTTCTTTTGCACATTTAAAGTATACAGCCTATTTTTTCCTCCAAGAGTGTTTACTAGAGGTGACTACTATATATCTGTCTGATGGCAAATGATTGACATATAAATTGCCTTGTCTGTACAGAATAGTTAAAGAAGAAAAATTTCTTAAAATACATACCACAGAGAGGAGAAAAATAAAGAAGAAAGCACCAGGTCAACCTTAGATGCTCATCACAAATTTATTAACATGCTGCAAAATGGATCAGATGATTCAGATTCAACCCCACTCCCACCTCAGCCAAGAATTATCAGTTCATGCAAAGTACTGGAAAATTAAGTGAAATTCAAATTCATTGTCCCCAGGAAATGATGTAACTTACTCACCTAGTAGGATTTAACCCAGAAAAGCCTCTGGTTTTTGATTTCATGCAGTGGCTATTCCAAAACACAGGGGATGAAAGAGAGAACAGACAAAAAAAATCGACGCAGGACCCCCAGATCTTAGCCCTCTGTTGCACCAGAGAATGGTAGGAGGGCTGTTAGCAAGCACCCATGTGGGGTGCGGATGGAGGCAGGGCGCATGTCTGTAGTCTGTCTCTGATAAGACGCTATCACCTCTTTTCTGCTGGTGGCTTTTGTTTCCTCTGATCTTGTAGCTGCTACATGTCATGCTAGAATAGTGACAGTGATGGAGCTGACTTAGAGATCTGCCAGAGGAAGATTCCAGATCAACTTCAAAGCCTGGCCACTCTCTGACACTCTAAGCAAACCCCCTCCGGAACCTTTTCCAGTCCAACACTCTTTGAAAGAAAAGACATAAAGGGAAGACAAACAGATAGGAAAGATGTCAGGGGACAGAGGCTCCAGCTGCTAAGGGCCCCACATGCTGGTGGGTGGGGAGTGGAATATGCCTGCCCAGTGTCTGAGGAGAGGCGTGCTGCCCTTCCCCCCAGTAGGCATATGGTGCTGGGGGCAGGGCTGTGTCTCTCTTCCAGGGGACTAGGCAGTGGGATGAGGCAGAGGTCAAAGGGGCAGAAATCTTCTAGCTCATATTTAAACATACATTATAATTTATAACTCAGTTATAAATTATTGTTTGAATTAAACACACTTAGTCCACCCAAGAAGACAAACCCATTCAAGGTGCTTTCAGAAGCTGGTAGCAACAGAAAGGCTCAAGGCAAACAACAGGCTAAAGTGAAATCCTGCACGGTCCAGGGTAAACCGAGGTGCTGGTGACCTGCACTCTCCTTCCGCAGTGTGTGGCCCTCCTCCCACTTGCTCTCAGTGTTTGTAGATGTGCCCATAGCCATGTCTGGAGGGTAGAACACGGAGTCCCTACCTCAGATGAGAAGGACCCCAGTTACCTGTTCCATTTCCATCTAATCCTCGCAAGTAAGGAAAGCTGTCCACCTCTGAGGGAGAACTGGCCGCAGTGAGGAATGCAGTGAGGTCGCTGTAGCTAGAGTTCTCAGGCAAGCGCAGAGCCCTTCTTTGGAAATGAACGCGAGGCTGTGGCCGGGCACCTGTGGGGATTAACCTCCAAGTTACCTTCTCAAGGAGCTGCTGCCTGCCTTAGAAAAAGCAAAAGCAAGCAGTGCTTCCTAGGGTTTCAGCATGCCTCCCCTCACCGCCAGCCCCTTCCCACACTGCCTCCAGTCCCTCATTCATGCAGGACACAAAGATGTGACAACATGCTATTATAGGACAAGAAATAATAGCCCATTGTCACATTTGTTTTGACACAGAATGTTATTTAGGTTTTAAACAAAAAGCTTTTTCCAAATTCTGTTTGTGAGCGATCTATTCACTGCACAGCATTTGCCCATGAATTGGGTAATATTTTGGGAAAGTTCAAGAGTAAATGAAACATAGTAGATGACAATTAATCTCTTTGCACAAACAATGCAATATACTCTGGGATACTGCTCCTAACCCGTCTTTCATCTCCCCAGTAAAATCTGGTTTTCCTGTACAGAGCAAATTGAAGCAGAGCAAATGAACAGAATGTACAGCCTTGAGAAGAATGGAACACGGAGCCCGGCGCTGCGAACCCTTTCCTTCCCGCGCAAGCTGCCATCAGGCATCTCGCCTGTTCCTTGAGGGTGCTTCCTACTTGTGACAAATTATGTCAGAGAATTTACAAGAAGATCTGGAGATGGATGATGTGAAGTGACATTCCACCAAGCTCTGGCCTGCTCCTTCGTGTCACCTGCAGCCCACCTTTTCCAGGTGCTGTAGTGACTACAAACAAAGGAAGGATAAGCCTGTTTTTACCTAACGTGGTGACAGTCACCAGCGTGAAGATGCTAAGCATTTTTTTGCGCAAACCTGGCAAAAATATTAACACAAATCCTTGCATCCTTCTCTGGCTTGTGGTTGACTGTGTCTCTGAGCTCAGTCAAGGGTTTCTCCTCCCCAGTATACCAGCTACCCCAGGGTCCCTGTTTACCCTGGCGCAGAGAACTTACAAGGTAGCATCAGCCTATCTGGACATGTCCTGAAGTAAGAGCTTCAGGGCTCAAAAGATCAATAAATCCAAGGCTCTTTTCCTGTAGGTGAGGCCATGGAAGCCCAAAGGACTTTTGTTTTCTATACAGGGCAGGCTGCCCTGGCTGCTATGACCTGAGTGGTAGTAGAGTCACACACTTCCTCTTCCTCCTAAACTTCCCTGCTCAGTGTCCCTTACTGGCTGAATATCCACTTGGAAATGCAGGCCCAGGTGCAGAGCCCAAGGGTGGCCAGTCCTGTCTGATGCTGGTCACCTGCACTGACATTCACTGCACATACCCACCAGCCCTGTTCTGGATGACGCATACTGCATTTCAAATGCACAGAGACACACTAGCTCTGTGGGTTGGCCTCTTTTGACCTTTTTCCCTTGGATGGTACAGAATCCTGATGCCTCACTCCTGCTGGGTCTGCACAAAACCCAAGCTCCCTGTGGTCCACCCCTCAAGCTCTTTGTGCTGGCTGGAAGCCAGCAGTGTGCTCCCCCTCTTCCCACCCCTGCCGGATTACACACACTGCCTACTTCTTTTTTCTCCTTTTCTGCCCCATTTTCAGAGGTGGGATGTCAAAGTCAGCCTCTCCCTTTCCATCTCCTCACCCCACCCACACAGTGACACTAACGTTTCCAGTGATAACTGTTTTCAATGAGAGGAAAATGTATTTTCTCTGCTGTTTCCTGCCTCAACAATGCTGTTGGTGTTATTCAATTGTGCAGACCTGGGTCTCACACAGTAGAAAAGGAAAGAATTCAGCTAATATGAAGAAAAAAATGGCATGACTAAGGGGGATGAGGGAAGAGGGTGCACTGGGTTTCCTTAGGGTCTAGGGAAAAGGCAGAACCCAGGTCACCCCAGAATGAGGTGGGATATATACACTTTCATTTTATTTTTTTTCACTCTCTGTCTCTCTGCACCCCTTCCCTCCCACTCCTCCCATCCTTGTAGGAGAATGTGGTTGCCAGTCTGACATGCAAGGTCTGTGTGCTGTGGTTGCTGTGGCGGTAGCTGGGACTGGAGCATTTAGGGGGCAACGCTCAGCCAGGTTGATGAGAAAGAGAAGTGGCCACCCCAGCAGACCTGACAGGCACCGTGACTGGCACAACATGGCAAGGGTGGATCTGCTAAGGTAGCCAGTATGCAGCACGCAGGCAACAGCTCTGCCTGATGAAATGACCAAACAGCTGAGGAGTCTAAGGATATAAGTTATTCTCAGCCATAGCATAAACAAAACCGAAGAGGGTATGTGTGTGGGTGTTGGAGAAGTGGCTGCATTTTTGTCCATCTTCATGCATGAGAGCTGCTAGATCTTCACACCACTGGGTGGAAATGGAAGCTGGAGAGTGGACTGGTCTCCCTTACATCCTGCTGTCCTCAAACACAGGGCTCCACCCCATTCCCAGCATGCCTCTCACTTAATGAAAATGCTGGGGCCTCCATTTCCACTCAGCACATCAAATTTACTTCTTCCTGTTTTTCTTTTTCTCCTCCAAAGTCAACCCAAGCCCTTCTCCTCACTTCACTTATCTCTGCCAACTCTGTCAGCAATTTCTGTGTCTAGGTTTTGCTTCCCTCCTCAACAAACATACTCATTTCTCCCCCACCTTGAACAATCATCACTAAACATTACTTCAACTTTGCTATCCCCATAAAGGACTGCCTTCTCTTCTTCTGCCCAACCTCTGCAATGTGATTGTGCCCACAGTACATGCCAGAAATAGGGACTGCAAATTCATGACCAATTCTCAGCCTTTGTCCTCTGTGGCCTCTTCATGATGTTCAATGCTGTTTGCCACCCTTGCCCACCAGTTCCCTCCATCTTGGCGTTCACAGCCCTGTGCCCTGGTTCTCTCCACAGTCTGTCTGCTTTTTCCCCCTGTGGTTCTTTTCTTCCCTTCCTGCCTTCAAATGAAATAGTCCCTCAAGGGCTGCCATCCATTGCTTCTGCTGGTTTTCTCCCCTCCCCTTAATGATTCCCTTCCACCACTGCCACCAGGGCTGTCATTGTCCTCCCCAGCCTGGCCTCTTTTCAAAGTTCCACACTTGTACCTCCCCTGCCTTTAAGCTGCTTCTACTCAGATGCCCTGCTAGCACCCCAAAACCATTGCTTACTTCTTCTCTCACTTAATGACCACAAGTTCTTCCCAATACCCACTTTGGAATCCGGGTTATCATTATCCCTTCTGAATATCTTGTGGAGTCACTCAATGGCCAGGACAGACCCATCTTTGTCAACATTTCTTTATTTCTTCATCTATTCCTTTCCTTTCCGTTTCTACCTTATGCTACACTACATTACCTTTGTCTCAACTACTGGGAAAGTCCGATCATAGCTCCCTGCTTCAGTCTTATCCTTTTTTCCACTGCACTTGGTGACACATGGACTGCCTTAAGATTCTACTCTGGCCATGGCTTCTCCTTGCTCAGAAACCATCCGTGCCAAATTAACAATGGCGACAAAATGAAGTAGGTCAATACAGACCTAAATACTACTTCACAACTCTTATACCTGAAAAGCACAGATTAGTGCTTCAGTATTCATAAGCCCACAAAACAACCCTGGGGGATTTTCTCCTGGATTTTCGAGGAATCTAAAGCCCCAAAAGGTTAATTAACTTGGCCAAAGCAATTCTGCATTTAAGAGGTAGGAATCATTTAATTCAAATGTCTGTGTCCCTTCTATTACACTATGTCTACCTCAAAGTAGATGCTCTAGTTATTAACAGTCAGCCAGAAGGACCGCATAGCTCTGTTTCTATATATGTACTCCTCCTCCTTTCTGTGTCTGAAACTTTTTCATATTGCCTATCTGTACCATATAAAATGTATCTCAAATCCCATCCCTTTGTAGCCTTTCTTGATCTCACCCCAGGCTCTGAGCTCTGTCCCTCTTATAGTCTTGACCTTACTGTGCCCTGTAAGGTACTATATTTATGGGAACATCTGCAATCTCCCTATAGGAGGCACAGCAAGAGAACACGGATGTTGGACTCACTTAACTCCCAGTTGAAACCCTTTCTTTACCACTTTCTAGTTGAGTGGTTTGGGGCTTCAAGTTATTTACTGTTAAAATGGGTGTGGATCATACCTGTCTTGTAAGGCAGCTGCTGTGATATCTGTCCAGAACATACATGTAACAGGGCTTACAGTACTTCCTGGCATGCCTCAGGGAAGGATAAAGGTTACTTTCCCATCTCTCCCCTTTTAGACTAAAGAGATCAAGAGTAGCTGTTCTGTGAAATGCATTTCACAAGCCCAATCTCTACCTAGAGCCTAGCCATACTTGGGTTGAGATGGGTGGCAACATCTGGCAAGTTCAACTCTGCCAAACTCAACAAGAGAAATTTCTAAGCAATAGTATGAGGCCACATAAGAGGGCCCAAAGCCATGTGGCAAGAGGAGGTATCTCCAAAGCTAGAGAGGCTCGGAGATAGGAAGTTGCAATCTGAAGAAGCAGGGTGCAAGGAAGGTTTCTTTTTGAATGGCAAAACTTTAAGCAATTCTGAGCACTGAGATACGACCAAGAGACAACATAAAAGATGGTGCCCAGCTTGAGGAAAGCTGGAGAGAAGAACAGGAATGGGACCCAGTGGGGAGGTGAAAAGGCTCAGGGCAGGGGCTGAGCCCTGCAGGGAGGGGTCCGCACAGTAGAGGAAGGTCTCTGAGGACACTGGTCCTTGTAGGGCTCCGTTTTCTCTAAGACAAGCAACTAGGAGTAGGGTCTGAGAGTCGGTGAAAGAAGCTTCCAGGAGGTGTCCTGGGAACAGAAAAAAGCTAGGTATGGAACAGCAAGAGCCCCTGAAGAGGAAGAGCTCACTGATGTGGGCATGGCAGCCAGCTTGTGGGTGGGACAGCCAAAAGCAGCCAGGAATGTCTTCCCAGTACCTTGCTCGCTACCATTACCATGTTGAATGTGTCTCTCTAGAGTCAGCAGAGGGTTCTGGGTGGCTCTGGGAGCCAGAGCTGCAGGCCAGCTCTGTGGTCTCTCTAACGGCACTGAATAGCCAGGGCACTCTGTCATTCCTCACTGCCAGTCATGCTGGGGTTAACTCCAGCAGTTACCACCAAACACGCCCCATGAGATGTCAACTAAAAGTGTTCTTCAGCACAGCACAAACTGAGTCTAAGAAAGATTCCCATAATTTATGAGCGCTCTCTCTATCTTCTTATCTCAGTGACAACCCTAAGAGGAATTTACCAGTCTTTTATAATGAGCACATTTTCCAGTGCAGCCTCCTCCTGGGATTCCTCCAGCTCACCAGTGTCCCCTGGGCTCGGCCCTTTTCCTCACTGTAACAGGTCTGCCCCAGCTTGCTTTATAGACAGGGTGGACCCTAAAAGCACAGCCACTTCTTCACTCTCACAATGCAAGGGCTGCTGACGACAAGGTCAGTCCCTCAAGCACCGGGCACTTGCCCTGCTGCTCATGCTGGCGGGCTGCCTCAGGACACTGCCCCGCTGGACGCCGGAAGGGCTTGCTTGGTGTGTGGGCCAGAATTTGCATAAATGCCAAACAGTCCATCCATTGAGGAGGAAGTAAGTGGACAGCCTTTTAATTTTTCTAGAAAATTCGCATTACCATGTGTTCATTCTCTATTTGGCTATAAACATTTTAAAGCAAAAACTTCAACCAAAGCATTGTGTGTCTACCTGAGGGGAACAGGGCCAACTGCTGCCTTTCTCCTCCCTCATCCCCATCTCGCCCACAGTGCACTTTGATCTTCTGAAGCTTTTCTTCCAGTGTCATGTGAAACACCCAGGCAGCACCTGCACGAGTGGCTTCAGAACAGCACTGCCCTGCGTGCTCCTGACCCTTGGCCAGGCCTGTCCGCCGCTGTCCCAGCAACACCTGCAAAGTCAGCTGGCTCATGGGACTCCCATTTCTGGGCAGGGAAGAACTCATTTTTTCCCTTCTTTACATTCATGGAAAAACAATACAGGTGACCAAATGTGACCAGATAGCACATACAAACAATGTATCACCCATAAATTCAGTACAATGTTGGTGTCATTGCAGTACGTAAATGGTGGCAAAGTCTTCCATTTTCAAAATTAGCTACATATAGATGTGCTTTCAAAGGTAAGAAACCTTGAAATAAAGTTACCCATTATCCATATCACTGCTAATCCCTAAACTTTCCTGCTAATCCCTAATACTACAGCTAAACATGTTAAACTCGTGACGCAAAGTAAGTTAAAAAATTAACAAGATGCCTGCAATTTTGAGAAGTGGTGTGGAAATGAGGTTCCTGAAAGGAAGAAATGGCTCCCAGCTAGTTTCTGGTTAGCTACAGGAGGCAGGGATATGACAGTCCAAATAAATTAACTGTATCAGAAACTACCTGGCTCACTGCTTTGGACTTATTTACAGGAGAATAGTCCTTGTTCCAGAGAGAAAAAAGTTACTCAAGTACTGTGTGTGTGTGTGTGTGTGTGTGTGCACATGCATGTGTGAAAGTATAAGATGTGCATGTGTGTGAACTACACTCTTTTTTAGCATTTATAATACAGTAAAGACTGACCACAATATAAGTGACCTACAGGAAAAACAATAAGTAGTGTGCGTTTACTCAGCCCGTCAGTGATTCCTCCCAGGGTTACTGTCAAAGATGATGATACAGGCCTCCTCTACCAGGCTTATAAGTTTAGTGGATGAGGACAGGCAAATCATCAGTATGGCCGAGAAGGAGGCATCACAAAAAATCCGGAGTTCCAGTCAGTGGTTATCTGTAAGGGCCCAAGTGAAGGGCAACAGGGATGACAGGCTGTGGGCATCCAGGACAGCAGCCCAACAGCATGAACACACAGGTTCTGGCCCTGCTGGTGCTGAGCTCAGGCAGCTCTGGGATTAGGGGTGTGGGGTGGGCTCCAGGTGGAACATGGGGTGCATCCACTCAAACACTGGGTTCCTGGCCCCAGCCCACTTGCTTCTGACCTGCTACCAAAAGGCTTCCTCTGCTTCCCTTTCTTTCTGTTCCTTCTAACTGGCTCACAGGTGGCCTGGTTAGAGCCTGGGCCCAGCCTGTACCTAATGAACATTCAGCCGGATGCTTGATTCAGTCTGAGTAAAAGAGAGACCAGAGCTGCTAGCTTCAGCTGGGCCTCAACTTTGAAATGCTCAATGAGCTGGGTCTCCTGTGCCAGGTGTCTACTCAACCCATGGCCTGCAGGGACGGGGGAGGCAGTATGACTCCCGCCTCCAGTGGAGGTACAGGAAGAGCTCAGGAAAGTTGGCATTCAGAGGCCTTTACTGTCCATGATGGCATGGTAAGATGGAAGAGGGGGTGGGACATCCCAGATGAAAAGCAGAAAAAGAAATTCAGTTAGGCTAGAGCATAGCAAAAGGAGCAGAATGCTTAGCGGGGAGACTGAGGTCAGGTTAGAGAGACTGCAAGTGCTTAGCAAGGAGGTGATTCTATCCCATAAACAAAGGGGAGCCAGGAAAAGGGAGAAAGATGAGCTCGCCTCAGGAAGACCAGGCTGGCTGTCCTGCCCAAGGCCCTCAGAAGGAGACATAGGCAGGGAGCCTGCTCTGCCCTGCAGGAGTCCAGTTCAGTGCTGACGTAGAGAAAAGACCAGCACAGCAGCACTGGGTGCCTGCAGGGACTCCTCAGGCCTCAGCTTGTACCTAGGCCACAGTGGTGCAAAGAAGCAATCAGTGGGTAGAGGAACTGTGGCCGTAAGTGACTTGGGCTGGCAGGCCAGGCCCACCATAATTACATTTGACTCCTGAAGGCAGATCATGCACAACTGCCACATGGGAAGAAGAAGATGTAGGACACAAACTGGGGTCCCTCAGAGGCCCCCGACAGAGGAGACAACTCAGTGTCTGGGTTGCAAGTGATAGTGTGGAGTTGAGCCTGCAGTGACAAGGTCTAGCAGCCACATGTAAGGTGATTGCTGGGGACCCTACACGTTGAGCCCCATCACAAACGCAGTATCCAGCTAAAGTCAAAACTGCTCCAAGGGTCAAACTATCAGGAAAGGATCCCACATTCTCTCTTTAGTGCCTTAGGAAGTGAAAAGTGGGTACAGAGGTAGTTGTGGAGAAGAAAAAGGCCAATGATGACCACATGGAGCCTTCAAACTGGGGGCTGAGAAGGAAGTGGTGAGGAAACCCCTGTGGAAACTCCATGTGATTCAGTACAGCGACATTTGCCCTCCTTCACCAATAGTCATCTCTACAGAACTACGGCAGCAGCAGAGGCTTAGGGTGGGACCTACAGCCAAGGGTGGAGAGTTTAGATTTTATTCCAAGGGCAATGAGACAACCACTTCAGAATGGGAAGCAAGGTCATTTGATCCCCTGTGGCAAGAATGGGAATGGTACTATGGATAAAAAATTTCCAGAAGTGCTCTGGGGGGACCTGGCGGCCTCCTGGATTCCTGAAGCAGCAACAGGGATGGGAAGAAGAGGCTGCTCAGCAGAAAAGGACACACAAGGACAGGCGAGTCCAGGGTAATTCCTAAAACTACCATGGGGCAAGCGTCAGTATATGTTTATATCATTTATTGAACTAGAAGGCAAAAAGTAGTCAGGATCTCTGGAGTCATGTGTTAAGCCAGAGGTGCCCACTAAACTGTCAACTGTAGGTGGCAAATAAATGGCTGCCACTGGGCCTCCATCTCAGGGGAGGCTGGGCGCCTCTGAAAGAGGGTGGGAGAGTAGTCAGTCCAGGAAACACCAAAAGCAAGGAGTCCAGAGGCGACCATCCAGGGACAGGAATGGAAAGAAGTGTGGGCCCAGAAAAGGCACTGGGGTCTCCCAAGAAAGAGTGACCAAGGAACTGAAAGAAAGGGCCACAAGGCAAGATGACATCATTCTCCTCTGAAAGGGGAGGAGACCCCAGGGGGTGGAGAGGAAGTGTTTGTGTGTGTGTGTGTGTGTGTGTGTGTGTGTGTGTGTGTCTGAGGCGGGGAGGAGCTGCAAGTGGGAGATGGCCAGTAGCTCTGACCACAACAAAGCTGAAAGAAAAACTGGGCAGTACCAAAGCCATGGGCACAGGCCAAGTGTGGTTCCGACATAAAAGAGTGTGGTCAGGCCCATCATCGTTCTCTTTGGAAGAAAGAAAGATAGCTTTGTAGACTTTCGCTGTGCAGAGGACATCAAAATTTGTATGTCTGTGTTGCTCCCAAATTTGATCACAAATACTACCAGAGACTTCTTTTCTCCTCAAATTCATCCTTTAAGAGAAACAGCTGCCAGTCAAGTTCTATGTCTCCATAGCTCTTAATAATGTAGGAGAAAGGAGTCACCCCATCTGCAGATGGCGCACACATTTTGTTTAATGTGTAAAATGATACTAGAATAGAGTATAAAGGGCAGTGGTCTGGGGGTGTCCTGGATTCCTGCAGCAGCAACAGGGATGGGAAGACTAGGCTGCTCAGCAGAGGACACACAAGGACAGGCGAGTCTGGGGGCATGTGTTAAATGTGTAAAATGATACTAGATTAGAGTATAAAGGGCAGTGGTCCCTTAGTATCACCACAGCAGTGGCCTGGGATCCCCTGTGGATACCAAAATCCACAGAGGCCAAGTTCCTTCCTCTGATGTATTTTAAGTCATCTCAAGATTATTTATAACACCAATGTAATGTAAGTGCTGCATGAATAGATGTTAGACTACTGTTTGGAGAATAACAAGATAAAATCTCTCCATTTTCCCTAGTGACGTTAATTTTCTTTCTTAGGAGGTTCTATCAAAGATTGGTCAACCTATAGGTCCTCCTTTCTTTTCTCTTGCATGCTTATATGCACACTTATAGGATGAGCCTGAGAAAAATAAGGTTACCGGCAACTGAGAGATTAACCGAAATTCAGTTGTGTTCTCCCCTCACAGGGACAGAAGGATGCTGTGCTCTGGCTGTGGACAGCCCACTGCTGTCACCACCTGACAGTAAGTTTTTAGTAGTTGGCCCCAGAGTGACTGTCATTCTCTTTTTAGATGTGAAACATACCTTGGAATCCTGATACTATTTGGACAACATCTTCATAGACCATTAGAGTAGCAGATCGTTCTGGAAGCAGGCCAAGGCTCAGTGAGGAAAATACTGCAGGAACAAAAATGAACATCAGGGAATTCTGACAGTCAAATCCAAAGTCCCACTGCAGTTTCCTGGTAGTCTGAGTTCTTGAATAAGCTGACTTCAAATCAATCAATAATGTTGATTCACAATATGATTAATGAAAATGCCAGAAGAAAAATTGCAATCACTTAACTATTAGCCCTAGAAAGTCAATTTAGGAACAGTGTTACAAATGTCTAGTAAGCTGAGCCTCTTCACATTAGGAATACCTTAATGCCACATTTTATAAATATTGAATATGTATCAACATTAAGTCATGTTAGTGGTATAACTTATTTTCCCTAAGTTATTTATATTACATAATTTATATCTCTAGACCATAACTTTCCTTCAAACAAGAAATTTACGCGTGACAGATAGTGCTTTTTTGTCAAAGACATCTTTAAGCAAGTTAGTATACATGATCGCTTGTGTTCAATGTGGCAGTAGCAAACAGTGGCTATTACTATTTTTATCTGTGTCTTAATCATTTACCAACAATTAGTATTTTAAACCACGATGTTGGTTGCTTATTAAGATGGAAGAATTTAGGAGGAAAAAGAATAGATACTTTCTATCACATCTCCTTTAAAAAGATTTATACTGTTTTTAAACACCTTTACAATAATCAGCCTTAACATGGATATTGCCATGTTGCAAAGTAAATACATTAAGTAAGTTTCTATTTTTTTTTTTTCAAAATTAGTTTTTTGTTTTTTTGGTGGAACCAGGGATTGAACTCAGGCCCTTGCGCTTGCCAGGGAAGCGCTTATTCCACTGAGCCATCTCCCAGGCCCCTCAAAATCAGTTTTAAGGGCACAATAATAGGATAACTTGTTGACTGACTAGATTCTTTATACAATGAATGTCTCTGCATAAGAAAGACTTTAAAAATACATGTTATTTTGAAAAGTACTACTTCAGTATCTAGATTTCCAATAAAAATTTCACAAAGCCTGTAAGTTTACCTATAAGCAGAACATATAAATTCATAATAATAATCACTACCAATAACAATTACTAACATGCCAGAAATTATCCTACATGCTTTGAGTTTTAGTAACTTATCTAAATATCAAAAGCTCTATGGGGCCGGGGAGATGGTTCAGTAGAATAAGTGCTTCCCTG